CTTTTCAAAAGTATTAAAATAATAATTAACCTATGCAGAAGGGGGTATAAATATGTTTCACTTTTATGTAGTTCAATTTTCATGATTAGTAAAATGTAGACACAAGATAATAGGCACCAGATGACAACGATATAACTTACTAATTAAAGAACATCCTTTTTTAGGGTTTCCAGTGTAACTTGGGGTACAAACACAGTCATACGAACCAGGGATGTTGATGCACTCGGCATTAGGCCCACATAAAGCCCAATCCTCAATCTCAGTACATTCGTTGATATCTGTTTATAAAGACATTTTAATGGTGAACGAGAGGCCTTGGTTATTTTCATTTATAAATACCATCAAAATAACATTACTTTTACTTTTTAATGACTATCATCTTATAATCTATCAGTATTTTGTTTAATAAGGTTATATTTTGCATCAATAAAAAGATGGAATGTATAAAATGATTAAGTTCGCCTGTAACCACAATGTCATCTTGCAAGTTCTCGACTTGCTCTTCTTTCTACCTACTTTTTTTTTTGTCACCATCTATAAACTTAATTTTATTTGCAAGAAAAATATCATACCATGAGAGTTAAGAACAGATTATATAAAAAACGTATTTTCAGTGACTCTTTATAATAATCAAAAGTGAGTCCTTATGACGGTAGCATCTGGCTAAGACTTGTACACACAGAAAGGTCCGTACCTCTACAGTAACCATTAGCTTCCATTGTGTAACCATGTGGACAGATACAGAAGCCATAACCTACGCCAGTGAAGACACATTCTTGGTTCTTTGGGCAAGGGTTGGTGGTAGAACAGTTCCGGCTGACCACTGATGATTTAATCAATGAAAAAAGCATTTTACAACATACAATTAATTTTCTAAATATTATGTTTAAACAATAGTTATAATTTAGAATGAATAGAGACTATATTTCAAAAAATATAACCAGTGCTTATCAGTTATACCCTTCACGATTATCTTCTGTAACTGTTACCTGTCACACCTGTAATAATACACCTTTTAAATAACATTATCTTTAGTAGCTGTCACCTGTAACAACCATAATAATACACCTTTTAAATAACATTATCTTTAGTAGCTGTCACCTGTAACAACCATAATAATACACCTTTTAAATAACATTATCTTTAGTAG